GCGCTCTGGTGGGGAGAGAGGTGACGCGAATCAGTAGGGTCCTGCTGGGACCCCTCCGGTCTCGCGAGGCCTGGGAGTCTGACTCCGAGGCGGGGCGCTTCGCGTCGCGGCTGCGGTCTGAGTGCAGGGCACTCTCGAGCCGAGACTAGAGAGAGAGAGAGAGAGAGAGAGAGAGAGAGAGAGAGAGAGAGAGAGAGAGAGAGAGAGAGAGAGAGAGAGAGAGAGAGAGAGAGAGAGAGAGAGAGAGAGAGAGAGAGAGAGAGAGAGAGAGAGAGAGAGAGAGAGAGAGAGAGAGAGAGAGAGAGAGAGAGAGAGAGAGAGAGAGAGAGAGAGAGAGAGAGAGAGAGAGAGAGAGTTCACACTCCTTGCGCAGTTCTCGTCCACGCGACAAAGGAGGCCCGCAAAGGGGGGCCGTGCCTTTTCGCGCCCCTCCTCCACGCGGCAATCAGTGCACGCGAGGGGTATCTTGTTTCTGCGGACCTCCATCACGCGACATTCAGCGTGCGAGAGTTTTTGTTTCCCTGCGCAGTCCTTCTCCGCGCGACACACATGCGTGCGAGGGGGGTTTTGGTTTCTGCATCCCCCCCCCCCCCCGCGCGGCAACCCCCCGCGCGGCAATCCGCGCGCGAGAGGTATTTGCCATTGCGCAGCCCTCCCCCACGCGACAACTCGCGCGCAAGAGGCGCGGCCCCCCTCCGCGTTGCAATGCGCGCGGGGGGGGGGGGGGGGGGGGATTTGCCCCCTTGCGCCCCCCTTCCACGCGGCAATCCGCGCGCGCGAAGGAGGTGCCGTCACGCAGCCCCTTTCGCGCGGGAATTCGCGCACGAGGGGGGCTTCGTCATTCGGCAGCCTTCCTCCGCGCGGCAATCCTTGAAAAAAGACTGAGTTTGTCATTGTGCAAATTTCGTGGGCTTCTCGTCTTGGGGCGCGCTGTGGGGCTGTTTGGGGTCCCTCTCGGAGGCCTGAGGGCCCTCTTGGAGCCATCTTGAAGGCCATGCCCCAATCGGGGTCTGAAAAATCACTTCTCGGGCCGCTCTTGGGCAACTCATGAGGCGTTTTTTCTTCTGCTCGCGGAATTGCATTTCGCTTCTGCTGAATCCCTTCGGGGGCCGACTTGGGCCCATCTTGGGGCCGCCGTCTGGCCATCAGAAACGATCAGAATCAACGCTGGGGGGAGGCAAGCGTCATAATGTTTCGAACGCTTCGGAAGGAGTTCGATTTCTTGGAAGCCCCCCTGGGGTGCTGGGATGGCACTGCGGGCCGTCTGGGGGCGGCAATGAAGGCTTTTTTTTGGGGGGGGTGCGTTGGAGAAATCTTGGCCCAGTGTGGCGCGCTTTGAATGACCTTTGGGGCCCATCTCTGGGCTCGTGGGGGCCTTCTTGGAACCTTCTGGGGCCAGCCTTGACGCTCGAATGGCCCGTCGAACGCCCTCGACCAGGGGGAGGGCGTAGGGGCAGGGGTAGGGGGTTCAAGTTTGCCAGCTCGAACGAGCCAGAGGGCCCCGTCCACTCCCACCCGCCTTCCCGCAACATAAGAAGCAAGTGCGTCGCGTCCGACGCCTATCGCTCATCTTACATCGCGGGCGGCTAAGAGGTTCAGCGCGCGACGTGAATTGCGTCCTGTTCCTGGCGCGCATTGAGCAACGTCGACGAGAATCAAGACCGCGCGCGGTGCACGCCGCGCCCCGCTCCGACCTCTCATGTTGCATCGTCGGCGATAACATGTCCAGCGCGCGAAACGCGCCGCGTCTCTTTCCAGCCACGCGCGTTGCACCGACAATCGTTTCGCTCCTGCCGCGCACGGAGGACGGGGAGGGGGAGGAGGAGGACGAGGAGGAGGAGGAGGAGGAGGAGGAAGAGGAGGAAGAGGAGGAGGAGGAGGAGGAGGGGGAGGACGAGGAGGAGAGGGAGAGAGGGAGGGAGGGACAAACTGACGGGGAAGAGGAGGATGCTTCTTCGCGGGGCGTCCTGGGAGCTTTCTGGTATGCGCCTGAGGGCCTCTTGGATATATCTTCCGGGTTGAAACATTGCCAACACAAGCAGGTGCTAACCTCACAATCCTTCAAACACCAAATGAAAATCAAGATTTGCGTTGCCCCCCAAGGACCTCCTGGACGCTTTTTTTCGACCTCTCGGGGGTCTCCTGAGGCACTTGCTTGAACCGCACTTGCTTGAAACATGATGAGTTGCCGCCCGCCCGGCGCCTCAACCCGATGGGCCGCAGCGTCGACGACAAAAAAAGTCCATGCAGGCGCCCCCGCGCGACGCGCGCCGCGTCCCATTCCCGCTACGCGATTCGCAGCGCCGACGAGGAGAAATTGCATACGTCGCGGTGTTTTCTGGCACGCAGGACGGGGGGTCCCGCCTAGGGTTGGCCAGGCGTCCGCGCGCGATGTGCGCCGCGTCAAATTCCTGCTACCTGTTTCGCAGCGCCGACGACAAGAAAATCCATGTTGCCGAGCAAACGCGTTGATTTTGTATTGTTCTTGATGGGTAGGACGCGACCACCCTTTTAGGGTTACCCGAGCGATGTTCATTCCGTCATAGTCCTGCTGCACTTGTCGCAACTCGACGACGTGCTGGCGAGGACAAAGTTAAGTTTATATGGTTTTTTGAAAGTTAGGACGGCGTGGTCGCTATCGGCCGGCTAGGTGGGGATGTGGGGGTGCTTAATCACAGGAAATTAGGATAGGGGAAGGCGCCCGCCCCGAAAGGGATGAGGGGAGGGCCGTTGGGACCCCTCCTCGTCATCCCCCCCCGTCCGGTTGATTCGGCGGGTCCCACTTCGGCCTCATTCTCCGTCGTCTCGGGCGTCTTCCCTGTTGCTTATGGTGTTGGTGATGCCGCGGCTGATGTTGTTCGGGGTTTTCGGTTCCCTGGTTGTCTGAAGCGGACTGCCATTCACACGAGCATCCAGCCACCCTGCTGTCCACCAGCACAATCCGGCATGCAGACGATGCCTGGGTCTGAGGTTGAACCTGAGCGCGCGCGAAGCGCGCGCGATGGTTCTCTCTTTCTCTCTCTCTCTCTCTTTCTCTCTCTCTCTCTCTCTCTCTCTCCCTTTCTTTCTTTATCGGAGGTCGGGGGGTGACATCGCAATGGAATGGAGACCCCCCACCGGGAAATCGGTTTCGGTTTCGTGGTCGTGTCGCGCGTGCGGGCGAGGCGAAGCTGCGCGTGATCCTCCTGTATACAGGCCGAAGTAGGAGCGAAAGTCCGTTCCCGTCCGCCGGTGGCTGGGAGGTGTCCCAGTTGGGCCGGGCGGTGTCCCGGGTGTCCTGGGTGTCAGTCGCAGCGAAAGTCCGTTTCCCGTCCGCCGGTTGCCACGGGGTGTCCCAGTTGGGCCGGGCGATGTCCCAGGTGTCCCGGGCGTCCCGGCGCTAACGCATGTCGCTAATTTCATAATTCATTTGTTTCGACGCCTGCGGCGGGTTTCCTTATCCAATCCAGCCTATCTTATGCAATCCACCTTTTTTTCAATCCAATACATCTTATATCTGATCCAACCCATCTTGTCCCATCTTATCTTATCCCACCCAATCCAACTCACCCAACCCAGTCCATCAATTCATTTGTTTCTGCTCCTGCGGCGAGCCAATCCAACCCATCATATCTTATCCAATCCAACTCTTCCAATCCAACCCATCTTATCTTATCCAATCCATCTTATCCCATCCCATCCAATCCACCCAATCCTATCCATCAATTCATTTTTGTCGGCGCCTGCGGCGGGCTTTCTTATCCAATATGATAGAGAGGCTCTGATAGAGAGGGAGAGAGTGAGAGAGAGAGGGCGAGAGAGAGAGAGAGACAGAGAGAAAGAGAGAGATGATATCAAGGTGACAGGCTGGAGGTCAGTCAGGGTGGGCATTTGATCTCAATCCCCCCCCCAACATCCTTATCGCCCGCAGGGCGGTCGTATAGGTGTATATATATATATGTGTATATGTATAGGTATGTATGTATGTGTGTGTATATATATATATATATATATATATATATATATATGGGTAGGGGGTTCCAGGCCCTCCAAAGTGCACTGATTCATCTTCCGGCCGTTTCGGGCATGGCGGGGGGCGCCAAAAAAACGTCAAGGTGGCCGAGAGACGTCCAAGAGAGCGCCAAGATGGCCCAAGAGCGTTCCAAGAGAGCCCAAGACCGCAAAAAGCGTTTCAAATTTGGTCCAACATGGTTTGAAAACAGCCAAAGAGGGCTTCAAGACGGCCAAGATGCTCTCAAAAGGACTCCCAGGAGGCACTGAGGAGGCGAAACAAGTGGGTTGTTCTATTGTGTTTGAAGGTTATTCGTGTTCTCGCTGTTTCGTGCTTCCGACGGTCCAGGACAGCCCACGAGGCCCCAGAAATCAGCTCAACACGGCCCAAGATGCACCCAAAGAGGGCGCCACGACGGCGCCAGAGAGCCCCAATACGGCCCGCGAGCGCCCCAAGACGGCCCACGAGGCGCCCAAAATCGCCCAAGAGGGCCCCAAGACGGCCCCAAGAGGGGCCCAAGAGGGGGAACACGAATCGACCATTCGAGCCTTCCGCCCCAAGAGGCTTCCAGGATGCCCCAAGAGGCCCCCCAGGGCCCACGAGGCCCCAAAGGGGCCCAAAAAGACGCCCCGCGAGCACCCCAAACGGCCCCCAAGAGGCCTCCCAAATTGCCTTCAAGTGGCCCCGGGAAGCCTCCCACGAATCCCAAACGAATTTCCAAGGGGTCTCTAACCCACAACCCAGGCACTGTAGCGGGATGGGCCGAAGGCCACTATCGAGAACGTGAACCGAGAACCCGAGATCTTCGCCCCAGGAGACCCCCAGGAGGGGTCCAGAGGTCCCCAAGAAGCTTGGCGACAGATCACCAGTCGACTTGTCGATGAAAGCGGAGGAGGAGGCATGATGAAGACGCGGGAGGAAGCAGAGAATGTTGACTTTAGTATTCATGACCGCCTTGTTGTCTCAATGCGGTCAGCACTCGACCAGCTAGAACCTAAGCGTCGCGAAGCGCGCGCGATGGTTCTTAATAGAGAGAGAGAGAGAGATTCATCCGCAAGCCCCAGATCAGGTATAAGCGCCTCTCACGGGAAGTTCTGCCACGCGCGGTTTTGCCATTTGTCTTATGTTCTGCTTTTTGTGGAGCAGAGGCGCCCTCTGGGGGGGAATGGCAGCTGTTGTTGAACTAATCGCGCGGTGTCCGCTGCCAGTCTCTCCACACCCTACTTGATGGGGATGTACATACCCTATACTTTTTCCATGCTAGCAGGGATTGAATTTGGAGTGCCTTCCATGATCATCCATCTTCTGTCTTTCGCTGCCTGTAAATGCTTGTCTTCGAAGGCGTCGCAGTAAGTGCTGTGCGCCAGGCGTGTGAAGCCAGCAGGCCCAATACAATATGCAGTTTCAGTATTGGGTTCTCCTCCTCGTATCTAACATGCCTGTGGCAATCTCCGCCACCGTGCAGTACTCAGTGTGGTGACGCGTCCAGCACTGCCGAGAAGGCTGCAAAGTGCAACGCTAGTCTTCTCCTGAACCCAGAGGGCCAGCATAAGTGGCATGCTCTGCCGCAGGTTCGAGAACCGGTGGCATGTGATAGGTGTCTTCCCCAGAGTCCTGAGAGCTGTTGTAGATGGGCTCGGGGGCGGCAAAGAGGGGGATGATGACTTGGGGGGGGGATGTCATGGCGGGGGCCATGATATCGCCCCAGATTGCATGGCGCCCATTCTTATTTCATTACGTCCCCCCCCCCCCCTCTGGGCCGCGCACATGTCGCCGGCCATGATTTGCGCCCCCCCTCGTGGACGCCCCCCTCTTGGCCGACCCCGATGAGAGCTGTTGAAGATGTGCGCGGGCGGAATTGTCGGCAAAGTTTCAACTCCTTCAGGATGTGGCGGATGGCGTTTCGGGAGGACGTCACGTGACGTCAGTTTCGGCCAGATCCGACGCCCCAGAGGTGCTAGACACCCTCGTATTCTCAAGTTTCGCCCCTCGGAGCGCCGCCGATGTCGAATCTGTGTTCACGCGTACATGTACAACCCCTCTTCCCAGCGGGCCGTATCATGTGCCAGCTGTGGAGAGAGAGAGAGAGAGAAAGCGAGCCGCAACATGTGACAACTGGTTTGAGCATGGCCCAGTGGCTGTATCGGGGGCTCAGGGGCCTGCCAGGAGCTTGCCGGCGTGCTGATACCTGGTGGAAGCCTCGGGTGGGGGGGGGGCTTCGGGTAACGTTGGGCGGACGGTCTTGCGGCCATTTGGGGGTGTTGGTCGGCGGCGAGCGAGGGGGGGGAAGTGCGAAGGAGAATTGACTTCTCAGAAAGTTTGGAAGTCCCTGGGCCTTCTGAGAAGTTCTCTCAGTCTTCCCCGGCGACACAGGAAACCTCTCAGAAGGCCGGAGGCCTTCCGAGAAGCCCCGCCGCCTTCTGAGAGGGAGGGGATTCTTGGGGGCCTCTTGGGGCCTCTTCAGGCTTTCTTGGGGGCCTCTGGGGGCGTCAGGCACTAGGCGGGCGTTGAGAAGATTACAGAAGCCATGCCGGACAGCCGGAAGTCAGCACGAAGGAAAGGGGTTCTGGACGAATGGAGTCCTGAAGGTTCGTCACCGTGGCCTGCAGACCCCCCCTGACCCTGGGACCAGGATGAAGATTTTGTCCTAGGGAAGCCCTCGGGGTCCAGGACCCGTTTTCGCCCAGACTCTTTGCCTCACGCCAGCAGACAGGAGTCTCAGGGAGTACGAGTGAGCTTTTCCGCCATTAGATCTCGACGCCGACACGGCCCTGGAGTGGACGGCACGCCAGCGGCATCGGAGCTCACGCCATTTCTCATCGAGCCTCTTCGGGCAGGACGGGGGATCGTCGCAGGAAGAAGAGGCACGGCGGTGCGCTATCTTGAAGGGATCTCGCCACACTTGCTGTGGACCGAGTCTTCCGCCATCCTCGCGCCCTGTGCGAGCGCCACCTATCGGCAGCGCGCCCCGTGGCGCTTCCCTCTCGCTTTCCCCTCCCTCTGCGCGGGCCTCGCGGCCCCACCGTGTCCGGAGGCGGCCCCGGCCGCTTCGAGCAGGGGGGCCTCTCCGGCTGGAGGTCCGAGGTGGCCTGGCTCTGGTTGCTGCAAGCAGGAAGGGGGGGAGGGCGAGGTTCAAGGTTCCGGCTTGAAGGAGATGTGTTATCCTTTCCGGTCTCCAGGGGCCTTTCTTGGGACCCGGGTTAGTAGCAGGAGGGCGAAAGTCAGCACCGGGTGGGCTTTGGGAGGGGTTCGGGAACCGATTTCGAGCGGATTTGCTTTTGCCCCCCCGTCTCGGCTGGTTGTCTCGAGGTCCATCCAATTCAGACCCCCCGCAGCCTCCAACCCCTTGTGGCCCTGCCTCACTCCCACTGGAAGCCCCCGGACTTCCTCGCGGTGTCCAGAAGTCACGAGGGAAGGTTGAGGGCTGTGGACCCACTTTTTTGTACCTGGGCCAGCGGCCCATGCTCAAAGTAGGGCCCGAAACCTTCGCACACGCTGCGGAATATCGCGCGACGTGGGAGGGCATGGGCCGCGCGACCACATGTAAGCGCGCATCGTGCATTTGAGCGATGATGAGTACATGGCCATGGATGGGCCACGGGTCAACAAAAAACAGTTCGTCGGAGGCAGGGGGAGGAAGCACAGGCGGAGGCGGACGAGACAGGAAGAGAGAGAGAGAGAGAGATAGAAACAGAAAGACTGAGAGAGAAGGTGAAGCCGCTCTGCCCGAGCGACCCCTGTGGCGCTTCTCCGAGTGCAGCTTCCCCGGTGCTCCGCGTGTGCTTTTTGCCAACGACGCTCCCGAGCGGTCTTGTGCGCTCGGCGTGATGGAGCAAACATGAGCTCTCACGCGAGAGCCCTGCGCACGCCTCGGCCGTCGGAGCGAGCGGCTGGGGCCTCGACGCTCCGGCTGTGGCCGCTCGAGCAAGAGGACACGGGGTCGGAGGTCTGAGGTCAAGTCGGGCCTGTCACTCTGCAGGAGGAATCTTTTCAAAAATAGTCGAAACATAGTCTGTTTGAGCATCTTCTGAATCTGTTTGATGTTCCGTCCAATCATCGACTCGTAGGGGGGAACACGCCCTGCCGAAGTCTAAGGGGGGAGGTGCAGGCAGAGGCGGAGGAGCCAGGAAGAGACCAGTGAAGCCGATCTGCCCAAGAGGCCGCCGTGGCGCTTCTCCGAAGCCATCCGGTGTTCCCTGCGTTTTTGCCGACGGTGCTCCCCAAGTGCTTGTCCGCTCGGCGTGATTGAGCAGATATGAGCTCTCACGCGCGAGCCCTGCGCATGGTTCGGCCATGAAAGACTTCATGGCCCATGGCCATCACTACCCGATTCTGGCCAAAATGCATCAACATCATTATCAACGTGATTAGCTCGACCTCTTACCCAGCGAATCAGCTGCGGCTGATGGGCCAGGACCTCCTACGTTCATGCACGGGCGTGTTGACACTCACGAGGGTAACACCTGTCCTGTGTCACACCTGCGTTGCCGCCAGTCCTGCTCCTGCCAGTGCTGTCGTCGATGAGGCTGACCCTCGCTACCACTACTCCAGATTTCGTAATAAAGGGAGGGGGGTCTCATTTCGGGGGGGGGTCTCTTCCAGCCTATCTTGGAGGGCCTGGGGGGTCTGGGGACGATGTTTTGGAGGGTTCTTCCACGGGGGAGGTCTGAAATGGCTTGTCTTGGAGGGTCCAGACACCCTCCCTTTTATTACGAAATCTGGAGTACGTACTGCGGCCTCCCAGCCCTCCTCGGCCTTCCTGCGCCGCGACTCTGTGCACGCCCGGGGTCCCCGCTCCTCCCCGCCATCCCGTGCCCTGCCTCCTGCTGCCTCTCTTGTCTGACGGCCTCCGGGCCCGCAGCGGGCTCCCGGGTACCCAGCGGCCCAGACCGACAAGCGGAGCGCGCGGGCACGGCACACGTCGCGAAGCCGGAGGTGTGGGGCCCCCCGCTCGTAGAGTGAGCGGTTTGGGTAAGGAATACTTACTTTTCAAAAGGGGCTCGGTCGTTCCTTAAGGCTTGCATGCGTTACGCATCGTTCCTTATGCGCTTGTTATTTAGTATTTATCGTTTCTTATGCTTTTTTCCTTGGAAAACAGGGGCTTCGTTCCTTATTTCTCGTTCCTTAGGTCAACGCCCCGACTGTACGCCCACAAGCCAGGCCAGCCACCTCGGTGCCTGGGCAGCCCGAGCGGAGCCTTGCTCAAGGTCGGACGGCTCGCGGCGGCAGGATTTTGGGGGGCCCTCGCCGTCGTGGCGGGCGCAGCGTCCAGGGCCAGGCGCCCCGGCCGAGCCCGCCTCGCCAGGGGGCCTTCCCCGGCCACGGCGGGGGCGGAAGGCAGGCCAGACCATGTTGGCGGTGACGGACCCGGGGAGGGCTCCGGGGCCGGATTGAGCGAAGGTGCGTCGGAGGTCCCAGGCCTCCGACGCCATGACAGTTTCAGTCCAGGCGCTACTTGTTTTATATACACATATACATATAGACATCTACACTTATGAGTATGAGGGATCTCTCTCTCTCTCTCTCTCTTTTGGTTTTGTTATCTCTCTCTCTCTCTCTCCCTCTCTCTATATATATGTGTGTATATCACATAAACACACATACACACATACATCGACACACATATATATATATATGTATATATATATATATCGGCAAGACTGCATTGGCGCTGCGCGCCATGCACCTTGGTCCTTTAGAGTTTCGCACGTTAGCGGAGTGCGTGCGTGCGTACATGTGCACACACATTCGGCTATGGAAACATACTACAGATGTACACATACTTATACGTATGTATGGGCATGTACATGTATATGTAAATGGTTTGTGTAACCATGTGTGCGCATACACATGCGTATCTCAGGCGATAGTGGCCTGACCAGCTGCTCCGGGCATCTCGCCTCTCAAAGGTGCGAGGGTCTCAGGCGAAAGTGGCCAGAATCAGCATCATCATCCTCAGCATAATCACCTACATCCCGTACACATGAACCTCATTAGCAGCAGCGTCGTCGTCGTCGTCATATCAATATCGTCATCATTACCACCACCATCGCCAGAATGAGCATGGTTATAATCACCATGAGAATGCAAATGGCTCTCGTTCGCCACACTACCCATCCTCGTCCGATCCTCGCCATCGTCATCGCAATCATCGTCATCATCCAACCGTCGTCATCGTCAGCGTAAACACCATTACTGCGGAAGGACTCCGCAGAACAGAAGTGGGAGAGAGAGGACAAGTGGTTCTGCTAGAATCTTGACTGGGTGGGGAAGAGGAACATGAAGAGGATGTGGAGGAGGAGGGGGAGGAGGAGGAAGAGGAGGAGGAGCAGGAGCGACAAATACGAGGAGGAGGAGGAGGAGGAGGCAGAGAGGAGGAGGAGCAGAGAGTATACAGAGAAGGAGGAGGAACAGGAGGATAACGGGAAAGAGAAGGAGGGAGACGGGGAGAAGAAGGATGGAGGAACAGAAGTATTGGAAGGCTTCTGGGGTTACCATTGAAGCTCAGTGTTGGGAGTCCTGGTGTTATGTAGCGTTTTGGGGCCTCTTGGGAGTGTTCTTGGGGCCCTTGTGGATCCCTTTTAGGGCCCTGTTGGGGTTCTCTTGGGTCGTCTCGGGGCCCTTTTGGGCAGTCTTGGGGCGTCTTGGAGACCTTTGGCCGTCGTGGGGCTCTCCTGGCGGCGTCTTGGGGCCCTCTTGGGTGCCTCTTTGGGCGCTATTGGGGCTCTCTTGGGCCCGTCTTGGAGCCCTCTTGGGCTGTCTTGGGACTCTCTTGGATCGTTTTCGGGCTCTTTGGGGGGCCTCTTGGGCTATCTTGGGGCGATCATTAGAGCCTCTTGGGCCGGTTCGGGCTGATGTTGGCCCGAAAAAGGGAGAACCAGAAAAACTTCTGAAAACCATACAAAAATCAATGACATGTCCCCTCTTGGCCCTCTTGGGAAGCCTCTTGGAGGCCCCTTGCGGCGTCTCGGGACCCCCTTGGACGGTCTTGGGCGGTCTTGGGGTCTCTTGGAGCGCTCTTGGGCTGTCTTGGAGCGCTCGAGGACCCCTCTTGGGAGTATCTCGGGCCGTCTGGGGCGCCTCTGGGACCGCCCGAAAATTTCGGGGAAAGCCGAAACTCGTTTTGGGGGGGGGGGCTCCGTCCGGGGTCCGTCCGGGGTCCCCCGCCCTATCAACATAGATCACAAATAATATATATATATATATATATATATATATATATATATATCATGCGCCCCAGTGTGCCAACACGAATGTGTATCTTCTCAGTCTGCACGAGTTCTGTGGCCATTTGGGTGCAGGCGCTCGGCCGATGCTGATTAACGGTGGGGTGCATTTGCTGGCCTTTGGGCCGTGCGCCGTCGACGCCGCGCGGCGGCGGGTCAACAGGGTGCTACATCAGTACGACATCCTCGGCCTTCGCTTCGCGCTGCAGGTGGAGGAGGCCGAGTTCGAGGGAACACCCGCGCATGTGGCAGAGGCCGCGGACGTCAGAGTAGAGGAGGCGCGGCGGCCGCTGAGGGAGTCGTGGGCCAGGCCTTGGCCGAGGAGCCTGTGCAGAAACGTCGGAGGGCGTTCCATGGCTGCCCCGAGCGAACCATGCTGGAAGACGCCGCGGCGTGCCTCAGGCTGATGGAGAGCCACCTGGGGCCCGTGCAATAGCGGGCATTCGCTTCGCTCGGAGGTGCCGCGCGGCCGGTGAGTTGAACCGTCGCGGACTGGAGGTGCAGAAGCGGGCTTGGTGGAGGTCCTGCCAGATCGCGCTGGGGATGGATGCGCCCTCGCTCGGGACGGCGCGGTCCTGCATGGACCTAGATCGGGCGAACAACGGCACCGTGGGCGGCACGCGCATCAAAGCGGTGAGGTCGCACGTGCGGGACATGGAGACGATGTGCAGGTGGCTCTTGCGCGAGCACGGGGCCCCGTGGCCGGCGACGATTGTGCACTTCATTGTCTTCGTGCATGCCGTGGCGGCGGAGCCGTGTGAGTCGTCGGTGCCCAACCAGACCCTGCGCTCCATGGGATGGACGGAACGCGTGGCAGGTGTCGACCCGAACGACCGACTTTTCCACCCCGACCCGAGGCACAGCAGGTCGTCGCGAACGTGGAGATGCTCCGCGGCGTGGGAAGGGGACCTACGACGCGATTCCCCAGCGCGCCCATCGGGGCCTTGGAGCGACTGGTCACGGACGATGGCCTCGCTCAGTACTTACGCGGGCAAGCGTGCCTTCACCTTATCAAGGCTTGGGCTACGCTGCGCCACGACGACCGCAGCTGGCTCCCGGGCGCAACATGCCAGAGCCGCCGCTCGTGGCATTCCGCGAGCGATGCATGCTGGACCCAGCATGCTTCCAGACGGGGTTCGATGTGCGGCAGGAGTTTGCGGATTTCGACAGGGGACACCTCCCGCCGAGGTGTGACGTCGCCGGGCAGCCAGTAGTCCGCAAGCCCGTTGGGCACGCAGGGGCAGCGGCAGCGGGGCAGGAAGTGCCCTGGAGGGTGCTGAAGCTGGCGGCGCGCAAAAGGCGAGGACGTCGAGCTTCTTATATCCGAGGAGGTCGTGAGCGTCTGGACAGAGCATTCGGGGCGAGCGACGATGCCTGCAGCCACGGCGGCGATGGGGTCCCCGAGGGGCGAGCGCGACAACTTGG